GTATGTCCCGTGTTCTTGGGAAAAGAGGGGGAGGTGGGGGGGGGGGGAGCAATTTCTCCGCCGTTGCCAGGAATGGATTAGTAGTGTGCTGAACTAGCATAAAGTAGTGACATGTCATTCTATCACATCGTTGGTGTATCGTGTCCCTGAATTCAGAACAGGATGTGAAGATTCCTTGTTTACCATTGGTCAATCTTGGCAATTTCTACGTAACGGCTTCATGAGATTGTCGTATTTCAGTATTATTTACAGTTTGTTGTTAGTAACAGGTTTTGTTTGAAGTTGTTACAGTTACCTGGCCTAGAATCCAGCAATCGTTAAGAAGTTTCGATAGTCCTTGAAACAATTTTTTTTTAAAAATTCTTCCAGACACACATTGCATTTTTGTGGATAATCAATAATCTCTTCGCTGGTTAAATTAATTTGGACCAACCTACCTTAATTATGATTCTTTCAATTTTTTTCACAAATCATTGGACCGTCACGAATCATTGAACCGGCACGGTGAGAATGTCCTATCAATTGCACGTTTCTATTGGATTGGTATTAATTTCAAAGTTTTCGATTTTTTTTTTTTTTTAACTGGTGAACGTGTGATATCCTGGTATACATTCGAATGAATTTCTAGTTCAAGGACATTTCACTGAATCAACCTGGGGAACCAGCAGTCGAATTATCGCGCCATTTAATAAGGTATTGCACTGAATCCATCTTCTGATATAACGTAAATGCGGTGATAAGAAAGGGACGCAACTTGTGTTTATGCTGTCAGTGGTGAAACTACCAAACTACACGTGTTGTTAAAGTAGATGTGTGATTCCAGGAATCATTGGCAGCCATTGAAAGCAAGTGTGGCCTTACTAAGTGTTCATTTCTGAACGACAGGCTCATTTATAGATGCATATTTCACTCGCCTTCTGCTCACTGTGTAAGAGCGAGTTGAGCTGACTGACTCGGAATGACGTACGTAGGGTAAATTAAAGCAATGAATTTTTTTATTGTTTCTTACGCCTGAAGATTTATTAGAAGTGAATAATTCCCTACATGTGTTTTGCCCGAGCTTTTGTTTTAATCTATGTAACTTTATAGCTCGGAAATAATTTCTTTGTAAAATGCCACGTGATAATGCACGCTAGTAACATCAGATCTAATCATTAGCAAACTCATATGAAATAACATTTGGTTAATATTTTGGTCGTCATTTGTTTCGAACTAAACTTCGACGACGGAGAGTGCGGTAGGGGTCCATGGATGGGTGAGGAGGCCCGAGGATGGGTAGGGGTCATTGGATGGGTTAGCGTTTTGGGATGGATTTAGGGGCACTGGGATGGGTTAGGGACCATTGGATTGGTTAGATGCCCTGGGATGGGTTCATTGAGATAATTACGTAATAGTATCTGATTTCTAAATAAAAGCTATTATGTATCTATATGCAATGATTAAAAGTTTGTGTACTAAATATTTATCACCATTAATATCAAAGTCATGTGTGTACTTCGTCGTTTAGGTAAAATTGTATAACCATAAGGGTTAAATTGTTTAATTTGATTTGATTCATTAAAGCTTAATACGCAATAATACATTTGAACCATAGTCACTTTAAAAAACGTTTATCTTAAAACTATTTCTAGGAAGAAGGACCTTGACACTACTTAATGGCGGCCTTGACAATAATTTAAAGATAACTTCCGGTATTGTCTAATGTGGTGGAGGATAAACAGGAGGAATAATCCGATAACAAAAGTTGTCCATTTGATTGACACTTCGGCAGAGACGCCAAACTTTGGCCCAAAACAATCGAATCATTTCAAACCACTTCAGCAATGGCAACGCTGGGCCTCCATCTGTGCATCGTCCCCCTGGTGGTCTATTTCACAGGCGCCGCGTCTCAGAACTCAACAAACACGTCGACGACATTCAACTCTTTGGAGTCGTTCACGCGGCTCAGAACGGTGGTCGAAGGGCGGCTGGCTGCCATCGACAAGGCGCCTCCTAAATATTACCCCTTCAAGATCCCCATCTACCTCAGCTTCGAACCCCTCCAGATCATCTTAGTGGACGAGGTGTCCCAGTCCATCGTGTTGTCGGCGGCCATCACCCTGGTGTGGGTGGAGCCCAGCGTCAGCTGGGACCCCAAGCAATATGGCGGCATTGAGAGTTTGGAACTGGAGCCGGGGGCTTTCTGGGCCCCGACCATCTACATCCCCAAGACCGCAGACAACTCGGTCAAGGTCGTGCCGCTGACCAACACGGTTCAGATTTCGTACAAGAGCCGCGTGTCCACTCTCATCCCCATCATCACGACGACCTTGTGTAACCTTGACCTCACCTTCTTCCCCTTCGACACGCACGAGTGCAACATCGTGTTCATCGAGTCCGGCATGTACAACGTCACCAGCCTCAACCTGCCCCCCATGGGCATCAGCGCGTACTTCGGGACCAACGCCGCCTGGGTCTTGGTGAGCTACGTCTGCAACACGCAGGCGTCGCACTACCAGCCCATCTTCGACTACATCGTCTGCACGGTCAAGATGAGCAGGCGCAGCGCCTTCTACGTCGTCAACCTGATCGGCCCCATGGCCATGACCTCGCTTGTGACCTTGGTCGTGTTCTGGCTCCCGGCGGAGGGGGGCGAGAAGATGACGTTCGTCGTGTCCATGTTCTTGTCGAGCTCCGTGTTCTATAACTACATCCTGGAGATCATGCCCAGGAGCATGGAGAGCCCGCCCAGGCTGAACCTCCTGTTGGTCTTCAACGGGCTCCTCATCATGCTGGCCACGGCCGCCACGGCGTATGTCTTGCAGCGTTACGACCAGCAGGTGCTCGACAGCCAAGAACAGGCCCCGGCTTCCGAACGAGATGCGAAGCCCAGGAAGAAAATGAGCCGTCAACACGAGGCTCACTCCAATCAAGTGTTCTACTCTCGTAAGTGTAACTCTGTGTCGCCTGCTCCTCCCTTGGACACCATGCACAACAACCTCAAAATCTACGACCCTGACCTTCACGATGACACCCAAGAGGACGAGAAAAAACCGGGCCGCAGCAGACGCCAGAGACTCACATACGAACAGTTGGATAAAATATTCTTCGTGCTCATGAGTGTTTTGACTGTGGTCGTGTGGGCGTGCATCTTTTTGATCTAAAATGTCAGCTCATAATTCACCTTTTACAAATTTGTATTCAAAGCTGTTTGAAGATTGCACGCAGTCTTAGAAGCTCCATCAAAACCAGAAGCTTGATATTGCCACACCAGCCGCCTTGTTCCATTAACCAGTTGACAACAGAAAAGGAGTGTTGGCCCTTTGGGCAGTAACCTGGATTGCTAGTATTGAATGTGTTTGTGTTATACTTGGCAGTCTGACGTTGAAAGAAATGAAGGAACTGTAACAAGCGACAGTTTATTTTTAAAGTTTGATATTTGAACTTTATTATTTTTTTTTTTGGACAAACACAATAATCTAAAAACATGACCAAGATTATTTTCATATGCTCAGATACTTAAAGGGATGGATCCATCCATCCATCCATCCATCCCTCCATCCATCCATCAATCCATCCATCCATCCATCCATCCATCCATCCATCCATCCATCCATCCATCTAATCCATCTATCTATCCATCTATCCATCTATCCATCTATCCATCCATCTGTCTAGTCTTAACGGATTTCAATATAACGGTAGCTTAATTAAACATTTAATTGACTTAACCTCTTGAACATGACGCATCTCCTAAAACCAATGTTCATATGTAGCCTAAATGTCTTAAGTTTTTAAGATTTATTCCCAGTTTCATCAAGTTTTCCCATGCTCCTAAACTGGATGTAGGTCAAAATGTAAAAAATAAAAATAAAATAACAATAATAATTTCTTATATTTAAAGAATCTTAAAACCCATATGTGTATACGCCCATGAATTGTATTTTCTGGAGAAAAAAAAATATGTAAGATCTATTTGTAAGATTATATTTTTACGCCCGTAAAATGTTTGTGTATTAAGATATTAAAATCCACATCAAACGACCCCACTCTCGTTCTGTAACATTTTAAATACATTTTTGACGAAACATTTATGATATATTTTTTAAAGGGTAAAAATATTATTATACTCATAAATATTTACAATACATATTTAGTTCAAACATATTATTTTGTTATCATAAATATTTGCCCACCGCTTATCCTCGACATTGCAATGTAAATTTGGAAGAGTGGAACAATTACGGTCTCATTCGTTGTTATAGAAAATCTTCTCAACTTTGGTCGCCTTTCCAACTTCACTGAAATTTGAGGCATTCATAAACTTATGTAAATGTAAATGTGCCCACGATGTGTCAACGCCCCTGAACTGCCTTTTTTCCCAAAATAACTGGAGCACGTATTTATTTTGAAAGGAAATTTAAATCCTCCTTTTTCACGACCGTGATGGCATCGGATCCAAACGTGTTGTTAATCCTCCGCTAAAGAGTGCACATTCTCTTGCCTCCCGATGAAATATATTTTCTTCAGAAAGTTAAACAACTTATTTCATTACTTTTAAAACTATCTCTATAAGTTAAGAATTTCCACTGTGTGACCTATTTGAACTTTGAACTATTGTTATGCCCATCAAATGTACTCACCCATCCTGTGGGGTATCGAGTATTGCCTGGGGAGGAATGTTTCTCCCTCCCCTACACTCAAATATTATATTAAGTATGAAGTGGCCTACGTTGTATCGCCATCGTTATCTATATTAATTGTATAATGTCCCAACTCCGTGGTAATACGCAATATAGTTCATTTTTATGAATATTGTTAAAGTGTTCTGCTTATTTCAGAATCTTCAAGGATTGATAATTTGAAACTCAATCCGTAACAGAATCCGGTGTGGAGCTACTGATATTAAAAAGTACCCACCAACCCCACACATACAAACATCTTCGCCACATTTTTGTACCCTGAAATATTAAAATAATAAATTGGTAAAATAAATAGTTCACACATTTATTTTAAATTATCTATATACTCAATTTTTTTTTAAAATATGAAAAATATTGTTTTATAAAAAAATTTTTAACATGAAATTCCAACATTTAGCGTAATAAACTCAATAAATAGTAATTTTTTTAAAATTTAATTTTTTTTTTTTTTTTGTAGTTATTAAAGTAGACATAAATATCAAATGTAACAAACACAAAGCTTAAATTGTGAACTGCCTGCTAAAATTGATTGAAACTTAAAACGAAAGAAATAATATTTATCTTAAGCAAGCTGGATACGGTGTACTCAAGGTGTACCGCCAACTGAGGAGATTTCATGAAAAAGCGGAACAAAAAAAGGCATTGCAGTAGACGCAGAGATTGAAGCTACACTAATTGAATGATGTGCTTGAACCAAGTGCGCCGCAGACTGGCTAAACGTGAAACACTTTCATCCATTGTCGTGTTCGCCGACTCACAGTGGGCTCTCGACATGGTGAGGAGGTGCTCTTTGGACACGGAAATGGCCAATGGCAATATTGGAGGTCATACAAGACATATGGTCAAATGGAGGCAAAGTGGCCATTCAGTGGATCCCCGGACACGCGGGAAAAGCTCCCAATGATAGAGCTGACTCTAGCGACACAAGTGCAGGGCCGTCTTAACAATGTAGGAAGCCCTGGGCACAGCAATTCACTGGAGCCAATGTTCCTTTTAAGCTGCGCAGCATCGCTGGAGCGCAGCTATCTCACAGAGGCCACGCAGCAGTTTTGAGTACCACGCAGCAAATTTCCTTGTAAATGTGTGTTAGTTTTTGTGGGCTGTAAAATGTTGCACACACAAAAAAAAAATGATGCTGTAAAACTTTGCACACAGCTGTATGACTTTGCACACAGCTGTATGACTTTGCACACAGCTGTATGACTTTGCACACAGCTGTATGACTTTGCACACAGCTGTATGACTTTGCACACAGCTGTATGACTTTGCACACAGCTGTATGACTTTGCA